TGGAAATACTGAAGAAAAGAATCCCAAAACTGAAACATCAAAAAAACCAGACGTCAAGAAGAAAAACCAAAAACTCGATTAATCGACAAATTAAGGAATCGAAAATTCCAAAATTTAGAAAGGTCAAAAATTGAAAAATTGAAAAATCGTAAAACTGAAGCCTCAAAAAAGTGAGAAATCGAAAAATTTAAAAATCAAAAAAACGAAAAAACGAGAAATCAAAAAATCAAAAAATGGGATTCGAAAAGTTGAAAAATCACAAACCTGATGAAAAATCCAAAAATCCTCAAATCGTCATAACGTTAAAATCCACAAATTCTCAAATCCTGAAGACACAAAAATTCCCAAATTCCAAAAGTTGATTAATCGGAGCAATAAGGATTTTGCAGTTAAGTTCCACCCCTTCGGTCTCACGACGAATAAAAAAATTCATCACAATTGAGATGGGGTGGGTGGGCGGGGCTTATATTTTGCCTTTTTTTAAATATACATAGCCATCGTTTCACAAGAAGACACTTAGAACATGGTTAAAATGGTAGATTTTTGCAAGCTATTTCCTTATACAATTTTTCCATTTTAAACGTGTTTTAAGTTTCATGTTGTGAAAAGAAGTCTGCAGATATTAACTATTTTGTTGACCATAGTAGCATTGCTTTAATGTTACACAATTTTTAAAAATCATTGGAACACCTGAAGGATGTGTTAGCAGAGGAATATGGAAAGAAAACATAAAAATTGAGCAGATAGACGGACAAGATAAACAGAGCGTACAGATTTTAAAATCTTTAGTTTTTTACAAAATATTTCTAGAGACTGTTAGAACTCTGGTTTCCCTTTAAATCAATTAAATCTTTCGTCTTTTGTGAAAGTTTTCCGCGGATCGGATAGACAGCCAGGAAGTCTGAAAGGAAGGACTGAACGGATAGATGAAAAATATATACTGGACAAACAGACTTAGAAGACAGACAGATAGACAACTCTGAAATCTTTCGCCTTTTAAATGAATATTTACTAAATAATATAAGGATCATTTAGAATTTAGATACTACTACATATTATTGTTGTCGTTGTTTTATTGATGTATTATTATCGACAAAACGTTTAGTTGACGCATTAAATGGAAATTTTAATAACTTAGGACAGTTTAAAAATTTGTATTCGTATGTGTGAAATTTTGAGGGACAACCACATAATATAAACTACAATTTCCCTCCAAAATTAATGGTTACTAATATTTTGTTGTCGTTTTGTTATTGTTTCTGTTTGTTATAATTGTTGTTAATGTTGCCGTTTATTATTATTCTTTCGAAATTTTGGAAATATATGTAGTTCCATTATCCAACCATAATCGCAAAACTTAAAAATGTCCAATTTCCGTCTGTCTGTCTGTCTTCTGTTTGTCATTTAGACACGTATTAGACAACTTGCTCGCGAAACTACTGAAGGGATTGTTTTAAACTATTAATTATACTTTAAGATGTCAAAACTCTAATCAAAATTTACGGTTTAATTTGCACCTAAGCGCACCAATATTTTTCATGTTGGGAGTTTCTTCATGAAGTGAAGCCGTTTAGTTTTTAATTTATTGTACCTTTTCTGAACCATTAGAAGCTACTACAATTATTATTTATTAATTTAGAATCATTAATAACAACTATTTTTACATAAAAGTCAGGAAAGTGGAGCATTACTGTCGAGAAGCCCTATTGAAATACGAGGTACTTCGTGCCGAGTATTTTAAGGCTCCGGGTTAAGTATGGACATTTTACTGACGAGTCATGTATTAAATTTTTTATCTACGACCATTAAATTATATGTTTATTATTCGCACGATTTCCATTCATTTATGGTAACTTTATTAAAATGAATAATTATGGCGCCTATGTACCAACTTATATGCATGCATGCATTATATATTGCCAATATTTCATTATCTATTTCCAATTCCATTATCTTTGAGTTTAAACAAAAATTATCGCCCTAACTAAAACAACAAACACTTGGCAGATCTCGTGGAAGAGTATTTTTAATTCGAGTAATATTGTTTTGACAACAGGTTAGTAACCAAAATAATAAAATTTATCATTTTCATTATGCTACAGAGATTTGTGAAATGGATGATCACAGTGAAAACGATGAAAATTTGGTGGAAAATTGCACACTTCCTGAAATAACAGAAATAGCCAAGACAGTTATATTAAATTTACTTCCTGAGAAGTCAAAGAAAAGCTATGAAATAGCTTGAAAAAATACAAACCCGAACAAGATAATCGATTACTTTACCGAACTAGCTCTTAAGTATAAATCAACAAGCTTGTGGACGATCTATTCTATGTTAAAAGCAACACTAAATATTCACCATAATATTAACATCGAAAATTAGTGTTTTTCCTGAAACGAAAGTTTGAAGGTTACACTAAAAAAGCTGCAGTTTTTACTCCGAATGAAGTTCGTGAATTCATTGTAAAGGACCGGATAATAAAATATCTTACAGCCAAGGTAAGAAACTTATAAGTGATTATGGAGATAACAATGCCTAATGTTTTTATAGGTTGCCTTCACTATGGGTATAATCGGTTGTTGTTAGGCCGAAATATTTGGGATGAGGTACAACGGGCATTATCAAGCTTTTGAAGACTGGTATAAACCTAAAATTGTTAACGGAATTAATGAAGACGTTCTTTTAGCTCACTTGGCAGAGGAAACTAAACATAATTATGTCTTCAACCCTTTGGAGTACCATCGTATTCGAAAAAATTCGGGCAAATGACATTGACAAGAAAGTCATATTTCCATTGCTTTTCATTTATCAGTACCTGATTTGCTCTTCTTGTCCGAAATTTTTGGAAGGGACTGTATTTATTCCATGTTTAAACCGACAATATTATTTTAAAAAACCAGCGATATTAGTAAATTTAATAAGCTTATTGCGTATTTAAAAAGACTAGCTGACGGATATCAAGTCAAAAATCAAGAGTTTTGTCACGCATTCAAATGGAAGGTTTCTTCGAGGCTCGAAATAAAAAAAAATTAATGTTAAATGTTAATAGATAAAAAAAATCAGGTCGTGATAATAATTATTATCTGTGTAGCAAGAGCGTGTCGGTGTAATGAACTAATAAGAATGTCCGTTGATGACGTTGAAGATAAAAATTCGGTGCTGATATACGAATACTGAGTCAAAAACTCATAAGCCACACGTTTCATTGTTGTTGGGAATGCGGGCAATGAGATTAATATCACGCCACATAGACGTTTGTTTCTGAACTAAAAAAATGGAAAGTGGGCGTGCATACTTTCGGAAAAATACGAAGTAAAATAGCTAGTAGTATCTTGACTTAGCCAGTTCTGCGGAATATACTGGACATTGTTTACTCCGTAGTTCTGCTGCTTTGTTGGTGGTGACATTACAAATCTAAAGAGACTTGGTGGACTGAAATCCTTTAGCGCCGCCGAGGGTTATATAGAAAATTCACTGGAAAATAAACTCGCGACTACTAAACAAATAGCGGAAGGGAAAGAAGAAACTGACAGTGAAATTAGGAAAGACGATATAGTTGCTGGGTCTTCGCAGTTTGACAGTTAGTGATGAAAATAATGGTGTTATGAAAGATAACAGTGCTTTGTCTGGGAGTAGCATACGCAATGTACAAAGTACAACTACTAATATTAATATTATTTAAATTAAATTTAAATAACGTTTAAATATTGTTACGATTATCGGTGATTAAAAATCGACGTGGGTAAACTCAACAATTTATTTCTTACTAACTCAAATTTACACTTGACTCAACTTCTCCCTTTGTACGGACTACACTTCCCATTTAAATACGCGGTTCTCCTAGAAACGCCTCCGTCAGCACTTCTAGACTTATCTGGAGCATGGCGTCGTACCGGAGCGGCGTATGGGTTTATTTCGTAGCAATATTTTCGTGCCTAGGCAGGGAACTGCAATTCGACGGAAAAGTGCTATTTTCATTCCGTTAAAAAAAAAATTAACAATTATTTTCAGTTAATTTTGAATTAATAATGTAAATAACGTCCGGCGTTGTGTCTGTTTTATATTCTTCATCGATTATTTCAGGGCAAGGTTATTTTGAATTAGAAATGGAATTAAAGCTGTATTTTTAATAATAAAGACAATATTTAGAAACATTACTTTTGACATGGACGCGGTATCGATTGTTCTTTCGAGAGGAGAGAAGTTATTAGAGTAAATGAATTTTTGACACCACATAGAAACAGGTTTATGTGTACATACATTGAACTAAAATTGTACCTGTAATAGAAACTTAAAAAAATAGAACGAAATTCAAAAACAAAAATTAGTGAAACGACGTTGCAGTAGTATTTATTATGAAATTACTATTTTGCTGACGAGCATTTTATGTCTCAGGATTACATAATTATTATTGCGGTAGTAAAATCTGTATGTACTTAATAAGTTAATTTCTAATTAGCAAATTATTTCATGTTTGTTTAAATGACTAATGCATATTTAACTTTTTATTTTTTGACATATTTGTCAAACTGCGAAAGGGTTTTACAACACCTGGATATTGTATTTTTGGTTCTTAAATTTTTTAACACGTAGTATTTTGTTTATTTTTGAAGAACAATGTCGTCGTTAGTTAGAATAAATAACAGTTCAGTAAATATTTTAAAATACGAATATTTTAGGGATTTGTTGACCATTATACCGACGGAAAATACATATTGAATATAAAGAATTTGACTTTATTATGCCGAAATGATGTATATATGTGCTTATGAAATTGTAATACATATTATAGCGTATTTGTTTCAACTAGAAAGTTGAGGGCGCTGTCTGAAAAAAGTATCACTTACCTTTTACAATTATCCCTTTTTACATTTGCTCACAAAATTATTTTTAACTTGACGATTTTTTTTTGTTTGTTTTTCTAGGGCATAGTGTGATAACAACGTTAAAAATAAATTAAAAACAAATTAAAGCAGTTGCTCATGAAATACTTGAAATAATTTATTATAGCAGAAATATTACATAAATTACAATATAATACTGGCTATCAAGACACGACACATGTGAACACGAAGAATGTACATTATAAACATTTCCCCTACAAACAAATAAACAAAATATAATCATCTGTATGAACCCATTACAAAAATATAGACTTATCTGTTCAGTATCATTTCAGTCAACTTAACATACAAGCCGTCAAATTAATAGCGCGGTTGTTAAAAAAAAAACTATGTCCAGCCACCGAAATAATACCTTATCAAAACACAAAAAAACCTTCAACTCAACATAACTATTTTTGACGCCTTGTATATTAATTACACCGCTTGGAATTAATTAATTCTGAACCCAAGAGAAGCCGGATGAGAACGTTGCGGTCTATATCTTAAACCCTCACAACTGGTGTCAGACGAAGAACATTGTTGGCATTTACATCCTGCAGCTTCCAAATATTCGTATCTGGCAGCCGAAGGATTAGCGCCTTCTTCGCAGTGTCGCAACTTAACAACCGAACGATTGCGTCCGTAATGGACGCAGACGGGATGGTTGGATTTTTTGTACGGGAACCTCCAGTCGGATATCTGGAACGATAAAACAACCTCACTGAAATGATAAAGTTTAATCAACGGTTCTTCCCAGTTTGAAAACAATCTTTCTAATGAAACCGCCGCTTGCATTTACGGTAGAGTGGACGCTGGTTTGTTGAAACTGGAAACGGGTTATTGTTATTTTTATGGCAAAGAGGAGTTTGTTTAGAGGAATTAAATTCCGATTTTTGTAATAGTGCCGGATGTGTTATAGAACAGAAAAAAAGTAGCGAGCTGATTAGATTATGCTTGAATGGATTTAGAACTGTTTGGGAGATACTTGCTAATTTAAGTAGAACCCGCGCAGCGAGTGAGACGTTATGTACAATATCGTATTGCAGTAAAAAATGTTTGTTTATTTTTGGTTAATTCGCAATTGTTAATAATAACGTATTTTTTGCTTCAACACTTCATAGCCTCTAAAATATGAAAAAGTAAGTCTTCCCTTTCTACCTGTTTGTTGTTTGTCCTCCATTGGCGATTTTAAACAGATAATTTTCAAAACTAATAAAAAAATGTATATGTTTATAGACCACTCTTCAAAGATAAAAATTGTATCATCTTTTGAGTGGCATATATTAAAATTATTTTTAACATATATACTTACTAAACATACAACTCACTTTTTGTTTTCAATGGAACATCATAGATATTATTCCCACCTTTTTATAGGCTTTATCATCATAGTTTATTTTTGAAATACCAATACGATGTTTACACGTCTTCCAGTTTTTTAAATACTTTTACCAATAGAGGAATCCACAGAAAAAATCGTTATGGGGTTATCAATAAAATCGAGTGTTAATATACAGAGTGTTTATAAAAAATTCTAAAATACAATTTTCAAGTATCGATATTTAAATTTTTTCAGGTAACTATCCTAGTGCATTGCATTATAATTTTTATTTTCTTTCTTTTTTTGAGTATTTATATGTATATTTAAAATTGATAGGTTCTGATATTTTTCACCTTTTTGAAAGACCCATTGACATATCAAAAGAATGAGAATAAAAACCGAGTAAAATGCAGTGATAAAATACAGGATGTTCTACTTGAAAAAATGGAACATAAATATTTGAAAATTGTAACATTTTCGATTTAGAGATTCAACAAGACATAAAAATCTTCCCTCTTTTTGTTCTTTTTCTCTCTCTAACAAACAATAATAACCCGATTGACACCTTGTATTTGAATATATTGTCGATGGCGATTCTCCTATTCGTAAAAATTGTTCTTTTTCCATTCAGTCTTATTTTTTGACGGTATAATTTCTAATACACAACCCGGACAATGGCAGTACAACATTTTCCTCAGTACTCCCTACTGATTGTATCTCTACCAACGTTATATAGTCATTTTCGTGTTTCGTGTACTTCACAAAAATGTGTGTTTGTAGTGTATTCACTTTTATTGCCTAATCTGGGTATATTAAAATTTTATTTTGGGAAGATCACAACAAAGCGATCACCTTTTTTTATCAACCCTTGTAGTGGTAAAAAAATTAATAAGTCTGGAATAACGTGGGAACGGCGCCTTCAAAATTCCAAAAATAAACTAGGCTCGATTAAAAAAAAAAAAGCAAATTGTATGTTTTGGCTTATAAACAAAACTCTGTATAGTAATAAATAACCTTATTGTATGTTACTCAAAACACCAAACAGCTTTGTTTTTTATTTTTTTTATGTCTTCAATATTTAAGAATAAATGGAGAAGTGCGTTTAGTAACCCACTCTGTATATTCAGAACATTGTATAGATGATAAAACAATTACAAAATTTGCTTCATCATCCACATTATGACGATATTTCATAATTAAAATGTGCAAAATAATGTTGCTGCACTTGTAGATTAAAAATCGATCTCTATTTTTAAGTTTATGTCTACAGGCTGACGAAAAAATGACGTATAAGTTCTGAAAAACTCTAAAAAAAATTTTCGTAATTCTAATTTGTTTTAATAAATTGCGTGTCTAATAAACAAAATAGACTATGACCCACAACGTCATTTCTGACTGTTGACGGATGTCATATTTGACAATTTTGAAGTTTATTATTTTCAAAAATTTGCTTCACGGATTTTTTTGAACAATTTGTTTCTAGCTCTTTAGAGCATTTTTAACAACGTAAGTAATCATCAAGCTTATACGTCATTTTTTCATCACCCTGTATAGGTTTTGGTAAAAAATCTAAGTTGTACAATATAATTTTACAATTTGATTTAGAGATTATGAAACTAATTGCCTGAAATTTCTGAACATTTTAAGGGTATCGTGAACATGGTAAATTGTTAAGCAAAATTCCCTTCACAACCTGATGACGCATTTTCAACATTTTGTTAAGTCAATCTCGCTTGTGCTCATTTTAAATTATAGAAAAACGTTAAATTTTTTTTTTGTTTATTTTTATTTTTACTTTCCGAGCGTAAGCAAAGTAGGTATTGTAATCGAGTCCGTCGGCCGACTCTCTACTTTTACGTTTTCTCGATCTTTCATGGCCCCTAGAACACGAAGAAATAGGTCTCCCATTTCCGTCTGTCTGTCCGTCTCTCCGTCTGTCCGTCTGTCCGTCTGTCCGTCTGTCTGCCGTTCCGGATTTTTATTAGATAGATAATCTCCGAAAGTACTGGACCGATTGTTGTGAAATTTTGTACTTATATTAGAAATATCATGTAAATGGTAAAACGCTAACCAAAATTTGTCTAATCATCCCCACCACTAATGCGATGACGTCATTTCAAAATTGTACATATTAATGGGTTTTAAATTATATAAAATAACATAGTCCTACACATGGAGTTTATGACTCCGAATTGAGTTTTTACCCGAAACGTCCAGATTTTTGGAAAAAAAAACAAAATTATGAAACAACATTTTGCAATTTAATTTTGAATCTGCAAAACGGAATACTTTGAAATCTTGCAGATGGTTTACAGTTATGATAAATATGATACATTTGTAATCAAAATATATTCACTTATCCCCTCAAAAAAATTGATGACGTCAGCTCAAAAGTTTGCCGAATAAATCCTATCCTAATGTGCAAAATATGATGAGTCTGTAGTCGTGATTTATCATTTCATTCATAGGGTGACTCAAAAAAATTAATTAATGCGTGAAATTGTTTTATTGATTTAATCAGGAACTACTAAACCGAATGCTTTGAAATCTTGGAGATGTTTTACATTTATAAGCATTGTATAATTTTGATCAAAATGTATTTGCTCATCCCCCCTAAAAATTTGATGACGCCGCAGCAAAATTTTGCTGAAAAAATGTGTAAAGAATGATGAGTCTATACTTGTATCACTGCATTAATATTTTTTAGATTTGCTTATACGGGGTGTCTGAAAAAAATTAATGACTGAGTCCATTAATTTTACTGATTAAATCAAGAATTGCAAAACTGGATACTTTGAAATCTTGCAGACGTATCTGTCTTAAATTACAAGTACCATGCAGGGTGTGCCTGTTATCTGTTCACGTCTGACAATTTTTGCATAGGCTACATATTATACACCCCAGAGACGACCTCGTCCAATTTACTTTTTTATTAATAAGCAATCATAGCAATCACAAAAAAAATTACAAAGATCTCAATGCCAAATAACGACAAAATTGAAAAAATTAATACTTAATTTATTTTAAAATGCCCCACTACAAAAATGTAATGCGAAAAAAAACATAACAACATGTAGTCGTCACCTTTCGGACAGCGAGGGAAGTACTGTCTAAACTCTTTAGATCAATTTTTTAGAACTGTTTGTAAGAAATGTTTTAAGAAATTAGTTAATTATTTATTACTGATTTATTGATTTATTTAATTTTCCCAAAAATTGGGAAAATTAAATGACTGGTACTTCCTTGAAAATGCAAGGGTTATTTATTTTACAATATGTCCTTATATATTGTATATGCAGGGTGTTCAAAAAATTGTGCACCAACTTCAAGATACGTTGTTTAGGACAGTTTATGGAGCAGAGAAAAAATAATTGAAGTTAAGTTAATTTTTAAAATTTCAATGCAACGTTGCCACGTTATTCCAAGTTTATTGAAATTTTTTCCAATGAAAGGGTTCACAAAAAAATCACAATAGGGTTATTTTTAAAACCTGTGTTACACCATTTTGTGGAGAGACAAAGAAATGTTGTGGTATAAATGAGATTAAATTTTCATATACAAAGTGTTTATAAAAATTTTTTTTAATTATTACAATTTTCAAATATCGATATATCAGTTCTTTCAAAGAGAACACCCTATATTTTATTCTTTCATCTTATACTAATTTTTGCTGTTTCTTTTTCGTTGAGTTTTTCTATAATTCAAGTTGATAGTTACTGCGATTTTTTACTTTTTTAAGAGACACATCGACTTGTTAAAATAATGAGGACAAAAAAATAAATGAAATATCGATATTTGAAAATTGTAAAGTTTAAAAATTTTTATAAACACTGTGTATATTAAAATTTGATTTAGTTGATATGACGACAAAGCGCGTACTTTATTTATTCTTCCACAAAATACTGTAAGACAGACTTATTTGTAAAGACACAGTGGGTGTTTCATTAAAAAGACACTAGTTGTGTGTTACCCCTTAAAAACACTCTATATAGTTAAAAATAATTTTAGAACGTATCCTCGTGGAACTGTACAGCTTCGATCTTAGAGTTTTTTTGTCTAATAATAATTAATGAGATATCGAAGACCGTGCGCTTAGTGACTTACCCTGTAATTTACATGAGGAAAAAAAATGTGATTTTTTTAAAACAGGCCAAAATATTTTAGAAGTGTAAATAAGTATATATAAATAGATCACAAAAATTAAGTTTTTTTTAATTAAATTATTTATCTGGAAAAAATTGATTTATTTAAAAAAATCTGCAATATTTAAAAATATTTTGTAGGTGAAATACTAGCCAAAGTCTAGCCAAATTTTTTATTTCTTTGACTTTTTTTCTGTAAAATAATAAAACAAATTTCTCTTGTTAATTCAATCGGGTATACTGCAGCAAAAAATTTCATAATCAAATTCTACTCGTATATCTGGAAATTTTGACCTTGTTAACTGAGTGTACTTTAGTGGTGTTTCAAATCTGTAACGTTATAATTCCATTTTTTTGAGGATTTTATTATTACATTAATACCAAGAGAGCAGTAAAAAACGAAAAAGATGAACGTGGATTTTTTAAAGTTTGTCTAGGATCGTTGCATTTTCAACATGAACGTTCAGAATGACGGTAATCTGACAACAATCTATCAAAGACAAATCTTCAAAAATTCATTCCTACTTTGGTCGTTTTTTTATTGCTTTCTCAGTAATATCGATTTTTTTTGGCGCTGAAAAATGTACAGCGTCTTTACCAGATAATATTTGAGTTATTGTTCGGAAGAAATTTTAGTGGAATAGTAAAATAACCAACGTATCACATTATGGTATTAAATTCAAAACTAAAATAAATCTTCTAATACAAGCCATTAAGTCTTTTCTCAGCAAACAGCGTTTTTGTCTTTTAAAAGTATTCTATTTTAATCACATTCGAAGTTGGTAGTAGGGTGATAATGCACCATGGTCCAGATAACACAATTCAGTTGTTGTAAATGCAAACCCGTGTCCCCTACAAGTCAATTTCCATTTATGGTGAAGAGATAAAATTGAGTTAATCGACTTCACGGGAAAAAATTCATTTTTGCATCGAGAAACAAAAAATTCCGCTTTCATCGAAACACGGGATTATTCCTAAATTGAAACTTTTCTATTATGGAATCGCTAATGAAAGTGGACGTAATTACTCATTACTCAGTTGTTCATTAACAAGACTAATCACTGATCCCCGCCACTGTTTAGGCATCTTCATTCATAAATTTCCCTGCCTTGCCACATCACGCACAATTCTGTTATTCTTTTGTGACCCACATTTATCATGATGTGGACGCTTAAGGGATTTGCTCAGTAATTGCGATTTTCCAATTCCGCGGACGGAGAGATTAACGAAAATTTTTTTAAAATGCATTCATTAAGGTTGTTATGGTGGATGTGGGAACCACATAATGTATGTTTATGTTAGATGTGTTTCAGATTAATGGACGCAGTTATATTGCGAAATGTCGGTTAGATTTTATGAGCGGCGGAATGGGTTGTTAAAAAGCGCAAATGGAGCGATGGCGTTAAATCAAAACAATAATTAAACAATTTGAAGGCGTTTTATTGCGTCATAATTCCCACCTAAAAATTTCGGTAAAAAACGTGTTGTCGTCGGGCTTTTAAGGGCTTTTGTGTCTAGTTTGTGTCGCTGGCGGGGGCGGATTGTCTCAGCTGGCTCTTGTAACACTATGCATTATTGCGGCTAGAAGCACTAAATGTTTTACAGATTGAAATGTGCTTTAAAATGTAATTTACAAAGCTTTGTGGCTTTATCAAGGTCAAAATGTCAAAGTTGTAATAGATATGTTAAACAAAAGCACAAACTAAATAACAATTTTTACTAGAATAAAACATTAGTTAATACACACACTGCAACACTTTGAAATCCGAAACTGTCTTTTAAATAATAAGCAAATCTATGCGACAATACAGGCATGTGATCACCTACATGTTAGGGCTATTTATTATGAATTTCTGGAAATTTTGAAAACATTAGACATTAAAATTTTGACTTTTTTCTTCTTGGCTAGTAATTATGGAAGATACTTGACATCAAAATCTCGATCCCTAGACAAAAACTCCAGCAACCAGCTCTAAATTATGGAATTATGTTTCCAATTTCTCGGAATCCACAACTGCCCACCAGCTTAACGGAATCTTATCCTTTGTGCCACATCTGCCCAATCCGAAAATTCTCTTTGTGCCCCAAATTGGTTCCGGACATTCTTATACCTGTCCATTTCCACATTCATAAATTGCATTTTCGTGCGTCACCGGGAATACATTCATCACGTCTCAAAAAAAGCCACAGCGCCAATTAAAACACCAACAAATCAAAACGATATTAAATCGAAAAAATCCATACCTCGTTCGAATCACAGCGTCCCCAACAGGCCATCACCGATAGGGTGTCCCAGCACTGTTTGCCGCTTTCGTCGGTTTGCGTCACTCTGAACGTGTACATTCTTCGGTGGCACTCGATGGTGGCTGAGACGTCCAGGGGTTCGAGACCGGCTTCTATGATGCTCTGGCAACTTACCAGAGCGCTCAAACCCACCAAAATCCACACTTGCACGCTGAACATGATCCTTGAAGGAAGCTTTGATGTATTAATAATGTCGAGGGAAGGCGATGTTAAAAGCGGGGAAAAAGTTGGAAAGCCTCTGGTGTAATTGTGTAAAAATTTTAATTAGGTGTAGTCCTAGAGGTAGGTAATTTTGTTTAGTTTCGGGTTTTTGATGGAATATTTACAGATTGCTGTGTGGTTTCAGGGGTTTTTAATTAAGTGCGATGGAAGAGTGGATGATGAGTATGGATATATTGCATTTTTAATCTTACATAATAGGAACAAGGGAGGTATAATGCAGTTTATTTTAAATGCACCTTTTTCATGGAATTTTTATTTATATCATAATCGCTGCCTTCATTAAGATGTATTAATTTAACTTTTATTTTAATTAACTTTTAAATGACGAACACATACAACGTCAGCAGCCTTAAAGTTTAGTTTCGTTTTTATAAATTCAAATTCTTTTTTTTTTATTATTTGAATTTAGATTTGGCCCCATCTTACTTTTAGTTCAGTGGGATCGAGCTTTTTGTGTTATCTTAAAAAAATAATAAATAATGTATTTTATTTGTATTTCAAAGACATAGTGTGGGTCTAAGAATAGAGCGTCCAGTTTCCGAACAAAAAATAAAGTGGTAATTTTAGGTCTATAAAAGAATATTAAGCAGGGCAGTGCTCTTTGACTTTTGTTTCCGTTTCAAAACAGGCGCTGTAATGATCAGACTAAGGTACATAGTAATTTAAAATATATTATTTTCTCAGCAACATAGTAAGAAGAAATTTTGGGAAAATATCACATTATTTTTAACAACTAATTTCTATAGCTGTTTCAACTTTCTACTGTAACATTATCCACAAGGTAGCATATTCTTTATTCTATTTTACTTCAGAAGCAATAACTTTGCTTACGATTAAAGACGCCAAAATAAAATCTGAGTCTAACATTACTACACATATCATGCTATACTTTTGCCATTTGTTTTTGATGTTACCCTTGCCTTTTATATTTTCTCCACATTTCATAGCTCCTAGAATATGAAAGTATAGGTTTTCTGTTTCCGTCTGTCGTGTATTGCCAATTTTGTTAGACAACTAATTAAACTATTAAACTGAGAAAATTTTTATGTATGTATTTTAAGAATATCATGTAGATTGTAAAACTCTAATATTGCCACTAAATTTGACCATGTCTTGTCAAAATTAAAATGTGCAGTCACCTATAATTTATTAATCCATCCCCAATTTTATCTTTATGAAAATTTTTGGAAAATAAAATCAAAATTGTACACAAAATATACATTGTTGTCCTGTTTTTTAAGGACGATACACTGAAATTACCGTCAGCTATACAGAGTATTCTTTTTTTAAGGCGTAACATATAACTTATTTTTTTCAAAGGGAGTACACTATATTTTTATATATTTTAAATGACTTCTTTTTAGGCTTTATAATCAAAATTTATTCTTGAAATTCCATTGCGACGTTGGCATGTAATTCTAATTTTCTTGAAATTTTATAGCTATCGAATAGTTAAAAAAAATCGCAATAGGGTTGTTTTAAAAAACTGTGATACAATATTTTGTGGAGACATAAATAGGCATATATGCTTTGGTTCAAACAAAATTGAGTCGTATTGGTGTTTATGGAAAAAAACATTATTACTGTATTATGTTAATTAATTCTGTTTTTTTTTCTCTTTTTTTTTGTTAAGTATTATTTAATTTAAATTGTTAGTTAATGCGATTTAGTACTTTTTTAAGAGACCCACTGACACATATAAAGAAAAACTGCGAAAAATAGAGTAAGATGCAGTAATACACTGTTTGACAAAACTGAAATATAGATTTTTGAAAAGTGTAAGGTTTAGATTTTTTATAAACACCTTGTATGTTAAAATTTTATTTAATGATGGTCACAATAAAGCTTGTAGCTCGCATACGAATTTCAAAATAAACAGTGGTTATAAAACCTGGGGAGAAGCTAATGAAAATGTTTAAAACATATAGGGTGTTCTAATGAAAAAACTGAGTTATGTGCTCAAAAAAACACTCTGTATAGCCGAAAATCACTTTGATATAATTTAGCATAATTATTATATTAAAAGTTTACAACTTTAATTTTCATTTTTTTTTTCTATTTTTACTAATAATAAATAAAACTGCACTCTTAGTGATTCACCTCTTGTATATTCTTTATAAATATTCGTATACGTATATTATATGTTCTGTGTTAATGACTGTAGATCTTTTGTTTCATATCCTAAATTGGGATAGATTTTTATCAAAATATGCGTTTTAAAACATAACTTTACGAAAAAATTTATGAATTACGAAAAAAATATCTGTGGTACTGAAAATAGCTATTTATGCAATAAGATAGGAAAAGTGACAGTTTTCCACATTCTAGACACGAGATTTTTGATCGAAACGAAGTCGAGCAGATATTAATTTGTCACACTGTTAAAGAACTAACATAAAATTTTCAGTAGAATAAGGAATGTGAAAAACGGCGAAATATACTTAATTGAAATACAATTTGAAGAATTTTAAAATTTTGAAAAAAAAAAAAATTAAACACCAGTAAATATAGAATAACGATGTCAAATTGTTCAGAGCTTACACATTTATCACCTCTTCAGAAATTTGAAATTTTTATTTCCCTAGCGTTAGCTAAGGAAGTATTGTAATCCACCCATAAGACGACTGGCTACTTTCATGTTTTCTCTCTGTTTCATGACCTTTATAGTACGAAAAATAGAATTCCCGTTTTCGTCTATCTATCTGTCTGTCTGCCCACCGTCTGTGGTATGTGTCAAATATAATCAGACGGATGATCTCTGAACGAATTGTTGTCAAATTTTATACTAATTTTGGGAATATCGTGTAGAACGTAAAACGTTAGTAAATGGTATTTAAATTTTATAAAATAAGATACTCTTGTACTTGTGGTTTATGAATCCATATTATGTTTTTAAAATTAAAAAAAAATCAAAACCGTTAAATAATTTTGCAAACATTTTGAACAAATTATTTATGAAATATACATAAAAAAACAATCATCATTAATTAAAAAAAGTTTATCGCTTCGTCACTAAATTAATAGTATTTATAAATAAATCAGTATATGTCGTATAAAAAATATTTAAAATCTAAAAACTAAACACGCAGAGCATAATCAGACTTTCTTTTATGAAAACAGGTAACCGTAACATTTTGTTTTGTTAATTTATAGTTAATTTCATATTTTGACATTTGACAAGCAAATAAAAATATATATATTTAAGTTGTTAAATTTATCTTTTGTCGTTCGAAAGAACTAATAATAGTAAATTATGATCACGGTAAATATTTCAGAAGAGAATCTGACCCAGTTGTTTTCAGCAAGACAAAAAATACCTATCAAAATACCTGATATGAAAAATGACCCTAAGCATTAATATTTGTGTACACTTCGTTACAAAAGAAAATTTTGAATTAAAAAGTGGGGCTTATAACAACTCGTAAAAAAATTAATGTTTCAAGAAAAAAAATTGAATTTTACAGGACCTCTGGTCGTAAGATTTTTATGAAATGACATTCATTTTGTATTGTTAAATTTTCTGTAATATTTCGATCCTTTTGAAGTTTGCATACATTCTCAAATGTATTGTCACTCGTCAAGGATTCACTTGTCACATCAAGAATTTGTAATTATTTCACTGGTCAAATTCACTTGCGTCATTCTAATAAAATCGCCAGAAGGTAACAGAAAAACGAAAACTAGAAACTGGCACTATTGTATCCTGCAGGATATTAAACAGCAAATTAAACGTTTAATTAAACGTTCAACGCATGACTCCACAGATAAGTCCAGACTACAGTAATTATGAGTGAGTTTAAACGAATGTAGAGCTTTTACCAAATTATAGGCGATTTTAATTCACTGTTTAACTCGATAATAAGAAGGGCGAAAATAAAAATCATCAATGATGATCTATGTAGGTATACCATTCTAGTTGAGAACCACTTTTTCCATATTTCACATTTTGTAAAATAATTTGAAAGTATATAATTGACTTTTTATGAATGACAGTATATTACAATTTAATACCAATGTCTACTTCTTGTAAAATTTTCCGAAAATTAGATGAACCTTTGTTGAGATTAAACAAACTGACTCAAACTTTTTTGAAACAGCAAAAAATAAAAGTACGTTAATTAAATCAACTAATACCGTCTGCGAAGGCGTATTTTTTAATAAACATATATTCAGTAATTTTTTCAGCTCAAATTAACGTCTGTTGTCGAAGGGTGTCGCGTTGCATGTTTTAAGCCAGACTTTCTTAATGAAATTTTGAGGTGATCGTTATTTTAAAATGGCAAAAAAAGAAATTTGCTTGATAAACTAAAGAAAAGTAAACCTAAAACTTTAAAATAGTCAATTTTGTATTTTGGAGATTACAACAACACAGAACAAATTTCCAAGATAAATGACAGCTGGACAGAGGAAATCTACATTTACCTATTCTTCGAGTTTCAAAAGGCTAATAAAACATTAAACATACATTTGTCAAATATCCTTACTGCAATCCTTAAATTAGAATTTAATTTTATGTGAATATTCACTGCGTTGGGAAATAAATACAAACACTACTGATAAATATCAAGAGAAAAATGTAAAAACTGTACTTTGAACAAAATAATGCACCAAAATAGAAACATTTTTTAATAAAATATTGCGCCTTTGAGTACTCAAAATTATTTTTATATTTTACGTTCAAAATTCCACGTGAATGTACTGACATAAAACTGGACATCCATATATAACAAGGAAAAAGATTTAATATTACGACTTTCAGCATGCATTTTCACAAGAAAGGGCTACAAACCAGCTGATTTTATGTCTAAATTGCTATCCAAAAATATATTCTTTATAATGCTTGTTCAGAAAATGCTATACTCGAGGATGATGCAACATCTTTACGAGATATCTGTTACGATATAAAGTCGAAGGTTATTTTTGTCATATTTGACTGCTAAATTTCTACTCCAAGCGATAACACTTTCCCAGAAACGTCGCGATTACCACAAATCACACCATTTTAAATTACGCGTTGAATATTGGTGGAGGCGCCGGGAAAATTAAATCGCACAAAAATACATTTCACGGGATTGCACAAATTGCGATTGTTTTAATTGTAGTTTTTAAATTAAAAAGATCTATTTGTAGGTAGCATCTTTTGAAAATGTTCTTGCAACTACTAATAACTAATTAACCTAAGCGCTCTCTTAACATCGACTATCTTGTCGGTCTTTTCGAAACATACCCACATTCATCCCAAATTAATTCAACTCCTTTTGTCTCCCGCTTTGTTAAAAACTCAAGACCTAACAAAATATTTCTTGCGGAAAACAAAAGAAAATAAAACCGACCACGCACGATTATCTGTTAACTACAAACAACCAAATAGTTGTTTTTAGAAAACTAATGGACCTTGATGTGTTATTTTATTAGTGATAAAATTAATGGTGCGCCTCCCATGGTTCATAAACAATTAAAATCCCCGAACAAAAATAAATTTTTGGGCAGAATAATTTTGAAACAGAGGCAATACCACAATTAACACAAGCAAAGCGGCATGCTGCAAGCAAAAATCACGTTGAACTCACCTGTTGTTGTCAGTAAAAGAGGTGGGTTCTTCTAAGGGTGACAGTGAGACAACTTTCTGATTAATAAAAGTTGTGTACCGCGCTCATTATACACCGGAGGGCGTGTTTTCGAAAGCGCAAGCGCTTCAGGTGTGAAAAATTTATTGCTTTTCTTTACAATCTCGACGAAAACTAAAAATAACAGGCGCTTTCGAATAAGAATGAGTGTTTAATTAAAAAGTACTTTGCAAGTCATAATGATTGCTTGCTTACAGACGATTACGTGCTGATCGGAAATTAATGCAAAAATTCTGGAGTTTTCATGGACTGTGAAGCGGTTGCAGTGTTTTTTACGAGACGGAGATGTCAACGTTGATTATTTTGTTGTATTTTTAATTAGATAAATTTAGTTTATTGTGGCATTGTTCTAGCGAACAAGTTGGAAACAATTTTGTTCCAGTTCAACGGTATTTAGATCTTTATACTATCGTGAAATTTAACCTACCCTTTAATGTTAAGCCTTTGAGTTTTAATGAGACGTAGCTTTACTGTAGGTGGATTTAAAATTTTTACCACAAGTAGCCACGCGTTAATATGTGATTAAATACTTTCTAATAAATTTTGGCTATTTTGTAAAATTAATTAATGTTTTTGTTGTTCTATATATGACTTGAAATAAATTGCCGAAATATAATTAAGTCTCCAGCTTTTATTCACGCTGAAACAGTTATAAAATGTCACTTTTTGTTCTTTTGAATGTATTATACTTTTGTCACCTGCAGAACGTTGGAGTTTTACAGTTTTATTTTGGTGAAGACTTATTCCGGTAAAGTGTTCCGAAACAGTTAACTGACATGAATATGTTAGCAGCTTTGACTTTAAAAAGAGGAAAAACGAGAATCTCTGTCAGTTGTGTATTCTCATAAAGAGAAAAGTTAAATTTTAATAAATTAGGACAGAACCAGACATCAAAGAGCAATGTTTTATTTAAATGTATATATTTTTGTTTAGGTACTAATATCTGAGTGGCTTCATACACAAATCCACTATTGCAATGCATACACACATCCTACGTTTGTAATTATAAAAATTACTTAAGCGTTATAATTCGGAATGTTTAAAATTATTCTTTTTCTAGAAATCGTATTAAAAATAATGAATTACAACAGTTTTCAAAACGTCATTTTAAATTTGCTAGGAGTATATACTAATACGAAGGGATTTTATTCACTCTGTTGAAAAAAAAAAGGAACATAAGTAGATTTATTACATAATTGTTAAAAACTATTACTTTGTACAATTCATATAAAATTTAGTTAGCAAACGTCATCTGACACAACACAGAGTTCGTTTTTTTAGTTTGAACCACAAACTTGCCAATGTTGCGCATTTTTCATTTTTTTTAATTTCGTAAATTGTGTTTGGCACTCTAGCTTTCCTTGAAACGAATTAATGAAGATATTACAAAAATTATACTTCTGTTGCAGACTGTAAGAAGCTAATTTTCCAAATCAGCTTTAATTTCACCCTCCCACACCACAACTTCTTCCACAAAATTGTTTTTACCGTCATAATAAAATTAAGAAAGTGTAGCAAAACTCAAGATTTCGCTCCCACTGTCTCGGCTGTTTTACTGTTGAAAACGCCATATTTCAAAATATGTGGGCAGTATACATTGCAGTTATAACGTGGTAAGACACATAGTCCCAACAAAAAAGCTTTTATTGTAACAAACAGAATTGGAGTGATACGGCCACTCTTGTACACTTAATTTTGTTTCATTAACTTTATGACCAAGAGGGCCGAATTTCAGCGTATGAGTTCCAAGTAAAACCGCAACGTCTTCTAAGTAAACTCCATCGTAAATTCTCCCAAAACTTTCGTAGCTCTGAGGAATATTTTCCGAAAAATTTGTTGAATAAAAAGTAGAGGTCGAGACGAGGCATCGAAAACACTTTTCCGCTCGTAAATTTTTTCGTAATGACTTTATATGCGAATTATTTCTTTTAAAAGTAAGTAATGTATATCTACTATAATTTCTAGTGAATATTACTGTACACTAATGGCTTTATATGTGGACAGTAAGTGGTCTTGGATTACAGACGAACCCCCATCAAATAAATCTGTTCTCTCAGATCTCCGTTACATTTAGTAAGTGGAGAATTGCGGAAGAAGGTTGGATGCCTTTGTGAGCATAAATTAGCGTCTTCTATACGTTTAAGTCGAACTTGTCACGAAGTTATGGTGATCACAAACAAGTACTGTAATTTTTTCAGGTATTTTAAAAATAAGGGAGATAGGAGAATATAATAATTTGGAAAATGTCTTCGACTTAATTGTAACAAATCAAGTTTTACAAGTTACACAGGTCACTGTTTTCAAAATTCTTCATTAGCATAAGAACGCTAAATAGAAGGTTACTTAAAATTTACATTAAAAAAAAACAAAAATCTGGACGTTTCGGGTAAAAACTAACGCCGATTCAGAAACTACACGTGTAGGAATTTGTTATTTTATACAATTTAAAACCATTTACTATGTATAATTTTGAGGTGACGTCATCACATTACATGGTATTTATAACACCGATATAAAATTTGACAACAAATGGTCCAGTGGTTTCAGAGATGATCTGTTTAACAAAAATTCAGACGGACGGCGGACGGCCAGACAGACAGATAAACAGATGGAAGGACGGAAACGTGAGGTCTATGTTTTTGTACTTTAGGGATCGTAACATATGGACTTGATTACAATACTTCCTTGGCTTACGCCCGGGAAGTAAAAACTCTTAACAGTCTACAAGTTGCCTAAAATTATTTTTCACAATAACGTAGTTATTTTAAAAACTGTAAAACACCTGTTTATAGGACATAAAAGCTTGCGATAGTTTCGTCTAGATCTTCTATCTTCTATAAATCTTAAACCAAAGTACATGAAGCTGCTTCAAGCTGTGATACACTTTTACTAGTCATGTAATTTCAGCGCCCCTGAAAGTGCCTGGTATAAGTAACCTTTACGTAAATTACATGTGAATTTTCGGTCAAATTTCGTAGTTTTTGTCCAGGGAAAGTTACAGTCATTACCACCATATTATACTCAGCACAAAAGTAATTCAAGCTGGACATAAAACTGTATAATTAATAGTTATTGATTTTGCGGTCATTCAAGTTAAAAGATGATGCTATGATTACGCCCTTATTCAATCTAATAAGCTAATCTCGTCAAGTTTATAACACATGGTTACACTGAACTGCACTCACTTTTTTTTCCTTCAACAATGTACAATTCTACACTGAACATCTAAAATTGAAGTATAGTACTTTGTGTTGCAAAGCTCAATTTGATAGATATGAATTTTATATGATCCAGATACTTTGTAGTCTACATTTCTACATAGAGCTTTCACTCTTATTTTTGCCTTCGGATCGTTGTGCTTGTTGTCAGTGTCCTCTAGTTTTTCGTGTTTTGTTTTATTCGTTTCTCCTACTTTGCTTAAAAAAAGGGACACAAGTTCGCTTGGCGAAAGCAGAACACATGGTTTCTAGTTAAAGCCAGAGGTTTTATTATTGCCCAAATAGATGTTGAATCTGAAACTTCATGGAGAGATCCGTGTCGGCGTACAATGCACAGCTTGATTTAATAGCTGGCTAGTTTGGGCAGACCAGAAAAAGAGTAAATATGCGGCAGATTTTTTGGGCATAGAAATGTGGAATGTGTGTTAACTTGTCTATAAAGTAGAATCACCGAGGAATGGTGACAAACTACAAACGGGAACTTCAATTCTACTCTAGTTACAACGTCCGCTGTAGCTCGCTTGTGGAGTTCTCGATTGTCATAATTTAAATTTCCCCCGACACCATAGTAATAACTTCTGTATTTGCATTCAGTTACTTTAACTTAGGTTTCTCTGTCTTTGTTTTTTTTTTTTTAATTTGTGATATTCAAATATCTACATTGATTCCTAACATTTAATTTCATTATTCAAGTTGGAGAGCACTTTGCAGTTACGGAATAAATCCTCCTAATTAAAGGTCGGCTTATTTCACAATTGTTTTTACTTCTCCAGAATAGAGGAATAAACAATTTTTGAATTCCATATTTTGTGTTTGATTTAGGGGCGCTTTTCCAACTTTGGGGTTCAGCACGTTGCATTTGAACGCATTCCACCATAAAAAAACACTCACAACGGAGGGTTTGCTTTTGTTGTCGATTACAATTCAAGGCCAAATTTTTTAAATTTTGTCGGGTTCTAAATGTTGTTCACATATCAAATTTTGGAGGAACGTTTGCGTTATGTATCTATTACACTTGTGGTTTCTCAGTGCGTTTATAATTTATATTTTGCGACCGTAAGCGAAGGAAGTATTGTATTCGAGTCCTTCGAATGACTTACTTCTTTCATGTTTTCTGGAGGTTTCATCACCCATAGAGTACGAAAAAAAGTGGTCTGTGGACTGTGTCGATATGCCGAAACTAATGAATCGATTATTGTCAAATTTTGTGTGTATATATATTAGGAATGTCTTGTATATGGTAAAACACTAACCAAAATTTGGCTAGTCATCCCCACCAAGGATCTGATGACGTCAAATCAATAATTTTTATACAATAATATACTTCTACAGTAGTGGTGTACGGATTCCGCTTTGAGTTTTTCCCCTAGACGTCCAAATTTGCGCAAAAAAATCCGAATTGTATGATCACTTTTTATACTGGTATAAAGGGGACTCTAATTACGTCTCCGTAACAGTGCTAAGTTCGTCTTCGCCGTCTGACTCAAAGGTTTTGGATTTGAAGTGCTGGCTAGGTGGCTCCTTGTTTTTTTTTAACTGTGTGACTCATAAAGTATATTTTTATTAACCAAGTCTCAAGAACGATTTTATTATTGGTGTTACACTGGCACATGTCGGAATTGACATACGTGTTCTTGCTGAAATAATGTTGATCCAAACAATTTCAAATGGGAAAAGTCGCTAGAAATACAGGCATGAGTTTATGCTTTCTTATTATTTTTATAATTTCTGACCGATATATTCCTGACCAAAATAAATATGAAAATTTTTTGTTATTGTTATAATTGGTAGGTGAGTATTTGTTTTTTCCATAATTCAGCAGGGCGCTTCAACAAATCACACAAGGGCAGAGTTGAATTTTGCTTTTGTAGTGCACCAAAATTGATGTCGTTTAATATGTAAGCTGTCCGTAATGCACCCATAACCGGTATGCGGTGAAAAAGGTAAAATTGAGGCTTGCCTCATTTTCCGTGCTTGCAACAGTGACATATATTTCAGTAAAAACCCGAATATTCACAATTAGGCCGTTGATTGTTTTATGACAAATCTGTGTGTACCATTTATTCAAATTCACAAAGAAAAATGTGTTAAAGGTTTTTATTTTTATATGTGCCAAGTCAGTGCTTTGGTAGTCGCCATAATTTGATTTCAAGAATCAGGAATACGAGTAATTTATCGCAAGTTGGAATTTTTGTCTACTTCAGCTTAAGTTACAAAGTGTATTTTTTCTAGAAACGTCGGCATTCATTTCTGAACAGATTGATCCTGTTTTCGATGTTTTGCAAAGTAAGTTCGTTCACAGATATTCTCAGAGCCAGGAATTTGTTGCAAACAACTTTAAGAAAATTACGCGAATTTACACTTTACAATTTTTTAACAAAATTTATGGAAAAGTTGATATTGATATTTTACATTCGAAAAGTTGTGAAGGAAGTGAAATGAATTATTAAAACAGAAATTAAGGTAAGGCAAATTTTTTTCGCAAATCAAATTATAAATTAACTTTTCAGGCATAGCAAAATTACACATTTTTGGTTTGCGTAATGTTTCTAAAATTCCATTTTTTTTGCGAACAAATTTCCATGTGAATGTCTAAAAACGCAAGCACGAAAATATAACTTATTTAGATATTGAAACATTTTTACCTTACCTCATTAACTTCTGAAATCAAGAGCCGTCCCTGACCGTTTCCTAAGGACAAGAGCACTCCAGACCAAATAAAACATGTGTAATATAATGCATTTAAATCATAGACAGTGGCGAAGTATGGGTGGTTAAAGTATGATACATTAATGAATTCAGAGAAACAAGCTCCACAAGAATTTTAAAATATATACAGGGTCGCTAGAATATATGGAAACCAAATACGTATCTTGAAAACCGATTCTACAAATCAATTGAATTAGGAACATGGGCAGAAGAAGTTGAACTCTAATTATTCGTGAAAAAAAATTGTTTTTGCTGCCATTTTTGAATAGAGCTTTTTTTCTGAATGTTTTCTACAAAAGGTGCGCAAAATGCTCTCCGTATACTTCCTGACAGTAAAAAAACGCTGAATAAAATTTTGTAATGAGTTAATGATATATAATAATATCTGTAAGTCTTCAATGTGAATCGGTCTACTGATATAAACGCGATCCTTCAAATACCCCCACAAAAAAAGTCAAGCGGTCTCAAATCCGGTGACTTGTCAGGTCACTCAATAGTACCCCTCCAGCCTATCCATCTGCCATGAAAAGTACTGTCTCACTTAACGTCTAAAATAGGGTGGAGCACCGTCTTGTTGAAACCAAATAGTTTCTGCTGGTAACTCCGGATTTTGGTAACTGGGAAACAATTCTCTAAGTCTAGGTACTATACGTTCCTGCAACAGCCTTAAGTATCCATCAGAATTTAAATTCCCATTAATAAAAAAAAGTACCAATTACATGAAACCAATAATACCGCACAAAAGATTAAGTTTTTCTGGACGCTGTGTGTGGATTTGCTCCATCCAGTATGGATTTGTGTCAGACCAGTACCTGCAATTGTGTCTGTTCACATGACTATTTAAACAAAACGTAGATTGATCAAAAAACAAAATCCTGTTGATAAAATTTCCGTCTTGTTGTATTCTGTTCATAATAACTTCGGTAAATTCAACTCTGATCAAAATCATCATTCTTCGTTTAGTTCTTGTACCAAATGGATTTTGCATAGGTGAAACTTTCCCTTTTTCATTATTGTTTGAATTGATTTTCTATTAACACTATGATTCAGCGCTAATTGTTGCACTGACGTTTTGGGATTTTTTGTTGCTTCTAAGAGGACATTAAGGGCACTTTTATCATTTGTAGCAGTTTTTGGCCTATCGATTGGGACACTATACACGTCATTTTTCACCTTCCCCCAAAGAAAAAAATCTAATGGCGTTAGATCAGGGCTCCGTGCAGGCCAAGCGTATTCTTATTCTCTAGCAATAAGTCTTGGTCCAAACGCTCTGTGTAAATAGTTCCGAACGTCTCTCTGATAATGAGCGGGAACGCCATCATTTTGAAACCAAATTATTCTTCGTATGTCTAGCTCTACGTTTTCCAACAGTTCAGGTAAAATATTCTTTAAAAAATTTGGATAGATTTCGTTTTCGTTCAAAAAAATTTGAACCAATGACGTGGTTACCAACAATTCCACACTATATCTTGAAAGTGCTTTTTCTGATACCAATGGGGATTTGCTGGGCATAGTAATGTGAGTTGTGTCTGTTTGCACACCCGTTATTGGTAAATCTTGATTGTCTCGTAAATGGTGGACAATTGTCACATGGTATGGATGAAATCGGTTTGCCTTTAAGATGTTGAAAACCGAACCCAAACTAATCTCCATTTGTCTTGCAATCTGTCTTTGACTCACGTGGAGATTTTCTGGTACAATTTCAATTAGAGCACCTTCATTATCCGGCGTTGTTATAGTTCGATTTCTAACTTTATTTTTTTTTTTTGAATTGCCCAATTTCTCGTAAATTTTTTTCAAGTTTTCTAAACGAACAGTAGCATCAAAATTTTTGTCACACTTTCCCAGTATTAATAGTATGTCTATTTTTTCAGAATTCGAAAACATTTTAAAGCAACTAAAATTGAAAATATTTAGCTGACAGAAATAATTTGTCATAATTTTGGCTCTGATCATTGCATCTACGCGTTCATTATTATTTAAAAATAAAAATTAATCAAAGTTGTTAATGAAACGTAAAATGGGTTGCCTATGCAGAAATATTCAGGCGTGAACAGATAAAATCAACACCCTATATAGTAGTGCCATTAAAAAAATCAAGTTCTCCTTGCATCTCGAAAACAAATGAAGCAAAAAAAAAAGTTTTGACTCATAATTAGAACATAACTTCTTGTACTCCTATACCTAATTTCAGGTTGATTTGTACAATTGGTTCTTAAGATATTTAACCGTTTCCATACATTCTAGCGACCCTGTATACAGAACATTGTCATTAAACAAAAACTTGGATGTCAGATACACACAAACAAAATTATAAGTTGTCACATTTATAGGATATTATTTAGATTCTTACACTTATTTATCTATAATATTTTGTTTCAATGTATAGTATTGTATAGAGATTATCATAAATAGTAGTTCACAGAATCAAAAATTTTAATGGTATTTCAAAGAAGCGGGATTTGTTGAACTACCTTGTTTTAGAGTTTATTATTTAAATCGAAATCAGTTTATCTTATTTTCCTGAATGCTGATCATATTCAACTTATGTGAAACACATCCGTAGTATATGTACCTGTTTACTTGTAGTTTTTTTTATTTTAACTTATAGGAGTTATAATAAAAAAAAATGTAAAGTCATATTTGTTTGAACGAAGGAAGTTCTATTTAAATAACTTTAAAACAATTTTTTTCTAGTTGATCTAAAGTGGATCACACCATTCAAGTTACTCGAATATGTAAACTGTTAAATTTTCTGACAATTCACAATTCTGCTTAAGCTGTACCACGAACAATTAAAAACATTTTTTTCTAACCCATTTTTGGTCATCGACTAGATTTTCGTAACCATTTTCAGATGAATGTTAAAATAAATAAAATAACAAGAACTACTACAACTTACGATGCGAAGAAAAGTTTGAATTTCCAATCCTGAAACTGTTCCGGTGTTCTTGATAACTCTTTACACGATAAATGTGTTGTTTGTTTACCTGTTGCCTATATAGCTACGATGTACGCTAAAATTTTTATTTTTAATAGAGTTAGTAAATTAAAAAAAAATAAATAAACGTTACATAAGACAGCTGGAAAATGGAAAAATCCCGACTTACCTATTTAAGGAACCGGTTTGCTAACAGCTGTTTGCAACAGATGCGAAAAAAACACGTCTCAATAAAATGTTATATTAAATGTATAAAGATGTGTATAAATAAAATAATATGATATCTACTTAGTACATTTAGATAGTAACTAGATCTCAAACAGACGGCCACATCGTATAAGTTCATGGAGAATATTACCTTCCATAATAAAAATCGAAACACCCGATGAAGTATCACAAGTCACTCCGCATCATTGTCGGCATCCTCCACTTCCATCAAGAGTGCCGGATCCTGAGGCACCGCCATCACCTGATTATTATCGTTGTTATTCGCATCGTTATTGTTGTTATTGTTGTTGAGCTGTTGCAAAATATTGAGCTGCTGTAAGTTCCCATGTGCCGCCGTAATGACGTTTTCCGGCGGATTAGGAGGATTCGGGATATTGCCCGCCCCCTGCCGCTGATTTTCCAACGCTATCATCTTCTGCCTCTTCTCTTCCATCAATTTATCTCTGTGCTTATGTATGTAATCTCCTATGTTGGGCAACCCATCTACCACGCACGCCGACAGGGCCGACCTATAAATATTCATGTCCGTCGCCTCGTACCACTCGTTGGTCTTCTCGTCGTAGCACTCCACGTGGTAGATGGTGGTGACACCGTTGAAACCGCCGATGGCGAAGATCATGTCGTCGATGACCTCGATGGCGAAGTTGCTGCGAGGGTTGTACATGTCGGGCACCGGCGTCCAGGTGTTGGTGTGGGGGTTGTACTTCTCCCCGCTGCACATGCGGGAGATGCCGTTGAAGCCCCCGATGACGTAGACGTAGTCGTGGTAGGCGATGCACGACACCCCCGAGCGGCGGGAGCGCATGGCGGCGATCAGCGTCCATTGGTTCACTTCGGGGTCGTACACTTCGGCGGAGTGCATGCACTCCTGCCCGTTGAAGCCGCCGGTGATGTAGATTTTGTCTGGAATATCAAAGTTCATTTTACTTTTTTGAGGAGTTGCTTTGATGAAACGAGAAAGATTTTTTGGAGAAATGAGGTGTTGATGAATACGATGTTTTATGAAATATGACGCCGGCTCGACAGGTGTCTGCAATCACTGTTAGAATTCGCGTGTTGAGATATATGTGTGAAAATTGGAGAGGAAATACCGGTGGGTTTGATTTTGGGGGATTTTTTTTGTCAGAAGAAGTGATTTGTTCAGGTTAATAAGTTTGAAGTTTCACTTTTTAATGTTCGAAACGATGTTTTTTTAAAAACTAACTTTTATATATTTTATTATCTAAGGGCCTACTGTGGCCGAATTTAAATTTAGAATTGAGCGGAACAGTCAATTACATATTAATTGCAGTCCGCAAACTGTGTGATTAAATACTTATATTATTGAAAACATTAGTTAATTACGTCAGGGATGATTCTAGGGATTTGGATGTTCGTGTATAACGGCTACCTTTTACAACCCATCATACTTTTTAACTTCCCGAGCGTAAAAATATTCATGAAAAATAGGTGTCCCGTTTCCCTCTGTCCGTCGTCTGTCATCTATCTATAGTCTGTTGGCGATTTTATCAGGCAGATAATTTCCGAAACTTCTGGACTCGTGCTTGTGAAATTTTACATGTAGTTCAGGAATATGTATAGTGTAAATGATAAAACCCTAACGACCCTAACCAAAATTTATCTGATTATTCCCATTCCCCATCAACAATTTGATCTTAAAATCATCTTAAAATTTTGCATAGTAAATATATATTCTTTCATATTTTTAAATTTAATAATAATATGAGAACATCAAACTGAAAATGACCAGGACCAGACAAAATACCTAATTTTTTGAACAAAAAATTCAGTTGTATACTCATTTACTAAAACCCTTAAAGCAGTTTCTTCTTAACCCATCCAAATTTACAAAATTTTTATGTTATGGTGTAACATATCTAAAACCTAAAGATGTTGACATAACAAGTCCATGAAAATACAAACTTGTCAGGTAACACCTGACAAGCTAAGCTTATGATTCAGTCCCACATTCCTGGATATACAAAATTCCGAAATTAGGTATACAAAGTTGGTTCTAAAATATGTGCTCTTCTCAAATGTTCAATGGAATTTTGGAACTCCACTCTTTAAATAATCTTAAATGATCACACAATTCAACCATATTCAATAATGATCAGAAGAGGAATCTTTCAAACGATCCCTCAATCCGCTTCAAAAGACAAAAAGCTGTTTTGTCAGGAACATGTCATATTTTTGGCAAATTTGTCAGTCTGATCGTGTCAGTCAGAGTCGTGACTAAAATAAATAATAAATTACAAAATTTTTATCCAGATTTTTGAAAACATAAATAAATAAAAAAATTAATAAAAACTGTACAACAACAAATTAAAATAAAAACTGTATAGCCGAATGTTCCGAAATGTTGCCAACGTTTTAAGTTAAAGTAAGCATGTTAAATCGTTAATCAAAATTTATCCGTTTATTCCCCCAAAAACTTGATGACATCATCTTATAATTTTATTAGATAGATCCTATCTAAAATGTACAAAATATTATGAGTCTACATTTGTGGTTTATCAGTGTATTTTCATTTACTAAAACTTATGCAGGGTGACTCAAAAAAAATTAATGAATGAAGCAATGTCTTTATTGATCAACTCAACAATGGTTCCCCCATTTTTCCGAAAATTTGGGAATACAGTACTGTTGTTATTAGTATTTTACTGCACATATATGTATTCTTACTACTTACTAATGGAAAACTCACTTTAAGTATGCACAATGCACATACCCTACTTCTTTACCTTTACTTTAACATTGAACCCATATTTTGATTTCAACTTTTAAGGGTTATCTTATAAAACATAACTCACTAAAATAAATTTTATAATTTATCTCAAAAACTGGATTTGTTTGATGGAATAAAATAAATATAAAATTCGTACTGCCAAGGGGATTGACGAATTGTATAAACTTATATGAACGAAAGTTTGAATTTATTATTATTTATATATTTTTCCCAAAAAATATAGATTCTACCCAGAAAGCAGACCCTTAATAGCTGTACTTAAAAAATATAAAGGGCTTTTTAAATAACATTGATATATAAAAAATAAATAGTATTTCTGCTTTCTGCCTAAACCATAAATAAGTCTTTTTTAAAAAAACATTTACATATGTTATTCCAGATTATTTAAATTCAGAATCAGTTTGTTTTTTCTGATCTAATCACACTTAGATATTTCAAATTTTGGATTGGTGTCAACCTCATATTTTTAAATCGTTTTTTCGCAATCGAGCCACATTTGGGTACGTCAAGCTCTGGACTGGCATCAACCTCACATTTTTAATTTTCCCTAGAATAATAATTAACGGGTGTTAAGCCCCCGACACAAAAATAATGAAACCTTAAGAATTCTGAAATTGGTTAAGATTCGCTGCGACGGTCGACGTTTTCCAATATTTACAGTAGATTTTACTAACTGAACCGCCATTTTGTTTTTTTCTATTAAACTGACATAAAAATTAATAATCAGATAAAGATCATAGCAAAAACTCATATTAAAATAGTACGATTGTTTGTATTTTGAATTTACCTGTCTTTGAAAGGTATGCAATATTGAATAGGTACTTTCTGTTTTCTGTCAATATTCACTAGGTGCCGACTTCGTATTAAATCTTTTTTATCTCGTTCACACCACATAATTATATGTTACTCGTTAAGTAAAGGATGTTCTATGCACATATTTATTTACTTAGGCTTGCTTACATGTAACATAATAGCCTTAAACACTGCGATGGCGGCGCTCAAAGAGCGAGTGCTTTGCTATAAATAATTCCTGGAAATGTTTATGTAGTCTGGAGCATCAAGACCGTTCCATTACAATCAGGAGCAGCCAAGTAGCTGGTAGTTAATGATATACCTTGCTAAAAAATTTAAAACTTCTGCAGTTATTAATTTTGCATATTTTAATAAAAAAATGTTGAATATTTAAACATTCTTTTTAGATATTACATATCTGTCAGCACAGTACTTAAGTGTACCATGTGTTTCTTTTATTCGATACAACCCCTGTAATTTTTTTATTTTTAAAGATACACATATAGTTCTTTGAGCAAGTGTGTATCATTTTAAAAGATCACTACTTATGTGAATAAATGTCATGAGTGTAAATTTTTCAAGAGTCTAGATTGTCATCAATAAATATGAATTTTTCGTCTATTTTATTGAATAACTTTTAATTATTGATTTTAGAATATTGGTTGCTTTTGATTTTTTACAAAAAAGCACTCTTTCCATTTATGAAAAAGTATACCTAGTGTTCTACCGGAGGTGATAATTAAAATGTGCGGTTGCCATCACACACATCTTTTAAAGTAATAGAAATTTGCTGAAAGAACTACAGGTTTATCTTTAAAGGCCGTGTGACACGATGCTAAATTTATGACAAATTTTTGTACGAAATTTAGTCCGAAAAAATGTAACTAAATTTACAACTAAACAATATATCTCCTGTATGCCACCTTACTAAATTCTCTTGTAAATTTACCATTCGCGCATGCGTAGTGAGTGAAAATTTTCGGGAATTTAAGAAATAGCGTTGGTAATGGTGATTGGTAAGGTGCGTTTTTCAACATAACCTCTGTGACATAACCTACAATTTGTTTGTTTATTATTTACTTATTAATCATTTATAATGAATTGTGAGGAAATACTTGTTTATACAACTATTGCTGCTTCGAGTATTGTTCTAAGCTGCTATGCCAATAAAACAAATCGGAAAATTCAAAGAAGAAAACGACGTTCACTATGGAGCAGACCTTGGTTAACAAGGCGACAAGAAGGACGAGATATTTTAAACATGTTAAATACCGAGTTGTTGCCAGAAGATCCAACTGCATATCAAAATTTTTTGAGATTAACGGGTGCCCAATTTGTGGGCAAAAGAACTGTTTGGTTATGTTGATTTCATCATGGCGTCGTACCGGTTGCGCCTTATCGTACTGCGCAGTTTTCGTAACAAATTTAGTCAGTATTTAGAACGTGTCCTAAATAATTTCTCATCAAAATTTGCACACAAATTTAGCATGTAAATTGTGTATGACACGGTACAATTTTTTGGACAAAATTTATCTCGCTAAAATTTGTCATAAATTTAGCATCGTGTCACACGGCCTTAAGAATAAAAAAGTTACCGGGGTTGTATCAAATAGAAGAAACACCCTGTATAATTCGAAAAACCATATTTTCAAAATTCGAATTCACAGCAACCTGTTTATTTTTGAAATTTTAAAATGTTCACTCTTCCTACTCTACAATTTCTCAAAATTAACTTTGCGACAAAAAAAACAAAAAAAGAAAATGTATCTTGAGTGAATCGCACACCTTTCTTGTTTGTAATAAACCAACTTTGAAAAGTTTTTATTAAGTAAACAAAATTTTAGTTTAACACTTTACGAATAGTGAATGTCCAAAAGACCTGTAAAAGATTTTTTTAATTTTAAATAGTAAGTTGCTTTGCTCAATGGCATGTGTTTTTAACACCTCTAACGCCAACTAAACCCACTAGTTACAAACTATAATTGCATTTGCAAAGTTTCAATTCATCCGGCGATGACTGCAGAAGACAACCGATAAACTTTGTAGAAAATGCAAGACTGTTATTTTGATACAGTTTGAAAATTTTAAGGCGATTATTATAATTTCGTCTCACATTAGCGACATTTTAAGTTTCTTTCTATGTGTAAATAAAAGAATTATGTATATGTTTATCTAATTAAAGTAAGATATTTGATTTTCAGTTCCTGACTTCTCTCACATAGAAAAATTAAAATTTTATAAACGTAGCTACTGCAGTTTAAAAATAGCTGTACCATTTAAAAGAGCTTGTTATTGTTACATCGTGACGATATTTGGTATTCATTTCACAAGTATTTTAGTAATAGTTTACTTTCAAAAATTTGATATGTTTTTTTGAAAGTAAACTTTGCCGTTCATATTACGTCAGAAACCAGTATGAAAAAATAAATAGTGAATCTGCCATAAAACAAAATTTAAACATTTTACGGTTATTGTATATAATATAAGTTTCCATATTTACCTATAAGACTTCTCATCGATGGTATGCAACACATAATTAAAATTAGTTATTGCTCGCTTTTACTAGTAAGGAAAATGTTGTAAATCTACAAATCTAACTCCATTTAATGAAGCGAATTTTTGTTAAATATCAGGAAATGTGTAATCCTAGAGCTAATTGGAACCTTCAAAGGAAAATTGGGGAAAATTGGGTCCAAGCACACGTTTTTACTCGTAGTGTAAATAGGATCATTAAAAATATCATACACAGAATATGCGTTAAATTCACACCATTTATGTTAGTGTTTCAAAATAATAAAAAAATGTCTCAATAGTGTGTCTTATATATCTACTTAAAAAAAACAACTACTACTACAGTTTAAAAAGCCATAAAATGTACACTTATGGAAATAAAAAAACTATATTCCTGCAGTATTTAACATGTCACTAATTGTGGGGTAAAGTGATCCAAACATGGCAATCATCAAATGATTTTGCAACTTTTACTCACAAGTCTCTTATTAAAATACAAATATAAATATACATTAATAAAAAAATATATTTTTCAAGTTTTGGAGCTGGTTATTGTTGGGACTTAAATTACCGCCTTGTAAAACTCCCAGTATCTTAATTCGGGAAAAAGTAAATATAAAGTTTGCGGCCTCTAAGCTTGCGTTTATCAATTATGAATTGCTACCAAGAGCATGTTGTAATAAAAGTTTACTTTAAATTTTTAAATTGGGTAAGCTTGTTTTTAAATGCCTTACACCATTTTTACGGGAAGAAAGTATAGATCTTTCCATATAACCTGACTAATTATAAAGGTTTCTTCATCAAATCAGGTATCCACATATTTTTTTAGTAAAAGATGCTGTCGGTTTCCACAAAAAATTTAAAAAAAATTTGCTTTAGAGCAAAATATAACAATTGAAATTGTAATAATTTAGAAGTTCAAACTAACTTTTATTAGAAACGAGATTCAATGCGATTATGGTGGATACGCCAAAACGCGAATTTACTCTGTACGTGTAAATATATAACAAACATTTTAGATTAAGTTTCAGAATAAATTATTATATTAAGGTATTTTGTTAGAGCAACTCATTGTTTAAAGTAGTAGCTCCTAAAAAAACTCCAGCAACTTTATATCCACTTTATGAGTTCTCTAGAAACTAGCTAATTTAAATTTCTCATTCATTTCAAGTTTTATATCGACCTACTGAAGCTAAAAACATTGAGAGAATTATGCTGTGGTTGTTATTTATCTTAGCTATGACCAATTTGTCGATATCAGGGAAAATGATCCACTTCTTTCTGATGTATGTAGTCAACTTACACAACTTACACTACATACCATCAGAATTATTATTTGTTATTTTCATAACTCTGTGATTTACAAGATATAAAAATTATAATGGCAATAATTATAATCAAACCGTGGTGACGTGAGTGAAGTTAAAAATTGGCAGGGTTTTTTCTCATGAAATATGCCATTGACAAAAAAAAAAAATTGGGCAAGACCGTTACAACACACAAATTATATCTTAACAGAGGTACTCAACATTCAAATTCCTGTTTTTTTTAACTCGCAATATTCCGTCTGTAATAGAGACAGTTGTGAAAATCCGAAAATTCTCATCCAATTAAAAATGTTGCTAATTTTGTGCTTACTGATCCGCTCGACAGATTGGTCTTTATATCGCCAGTCGCGTTTTACGGCACAAAAGAATAATTAACGAAACAAACAGTTTGAGAATTAGTCATTTTAGCTTTGACATTTTTACAATTTTCATTGCCCTTTGTACATAATATGTCGATGTGCCTGGATTTCGCAGAGGAGACACAAAACTGAATGAAACCTGTTGACATATAACTCCAGAACATTAAACTGCTCCAGAACATTAAAACAAGTTCGTTACAGCAGTGAGTTATCCTCCATTGTTGATTAGTAACATGAACTGGTTCAACGACTTTGACCAAATGCTTGACATAACAACGTCGGAGCTTTAATCAATTTAATTAAAAGGTCCATATTTTGAAACGCGAGAAAATCGATGCATAACATCATAAAAACTTCCTACACCTTAACTTCTTTTAACATTCAAGTTTTACAATACTTACTGTTAAGAGTGCAAGCACTAGCGTCCGATCGTTGCATGTTCATCGAAGCAATCAGCGACCACTGATTTGTTTTATAGTCGTACTTCTCAGCAGTGTTTTGCCGGTGATGCCCATCATACCCTCCCATGGCATAAATAATATTGTTTAGAACAGCGACACTGACGTAACATCTTCTGGCATGCATGGGCGCAATTTCTTTCCACGCTTTTTTAATAGGGTCGAAGCATCTGCACGAGTTGAAATAATCCATTCCATCGAATCCTCCGATGACGTAAATGTTGAATCCCACCACTGCTGTTCCGTGGTAAGCTCGAGGTCCTGACGGATCCACTTCTTCGATTTTCACCCATCTGTCGGCTCGAGTGTCGTAGGTTTCTATGTAGTTCGTGGGAGAACCTCCGCTCCAGCCGCCAATGGCGAAGAGGACTTCGTGGGGTAGTCTTGGGCGGGCTATTTCTGGAGTAACCACTTCGCCGTTTCTGAAACAAAAAATTATTAAATAAATAAATGAATTATTGGTGATTAGTTGGACAGGGTTTACTGTCTGTGAAGTCGGAATTTATGTCTATTGATTTATTGTTTTTCTGTTAATCCTATCTTTTTCAAGGCAGGTTTCGTTATGCTCGATTCACTTTTTTCTGTACAATGATATTTAAATGGAAAGGGTAGTCTATTGATACGACAGGGTTGATTTATTCTGGCCTTTAAACTATACAATACAATACAGTTATAGCTCAGACCACAAAACGTAATACTAACTTTACAGGATATAGTTTAACTGAAATTATTTCATGAGTATTGTAGTTAAATAGATATATTCACTAACAATACAGGCAAAATTAAACTTGAAAGATAGAAAGAAAATTAATACTGCACCAGTTGATAATTAAAGTTGATTAATTGTTATTTGCATTTTTTTGTATTATTTTTTAATGTAATAATAAAGTCGATTTGTTAGTAAGAAAAACTTTTGAAATGTAATTAATAATAATAATTGTCCAATAAAATTTGGAAAAAAATTGTATTAAAAATATTAATCGTTATGTAAGGGGGTTATTCCCATGTGTTTCTTATTTATGAAGATTAAATTCGAAGGATCTGTATATTTTGAGTCAAAAATATGTCAAGGTGTCTGAGATAATACCGTGTGATTTTTTGAATTCCTGCTCTAGTTAGCCATGACAAGAACGTCAGCAGTGAAATTCAAACTGCTGACGTAGACCGACACCCTATACTTTTAAAACACTTTCATAGAAAAAATGTTCAACTAAATATTACTTTGTTTAGCTAGGTTTGAAGTTTTTGTTATTTTAAAAAATAAAAGGAAACAATAATAAAGGAAGTCCTAAATTTAGAGAATACTGGAAACGTTAACTTAATTTTAAAAATAAAACATGTAAAAAAAATTGGTCTAAAGAGTTTAGACAGTACTTCCCTCGCTGTCGGAAACTTGACGACTGCATGCCTATTGTGTTTTTATTCTCATTACATTTTTGTAGTGGGAATTTAAAAAAAAATTGCGATGACGTCATCAACATTTTTGCAAGGACACGTATATCAGTTGGGATAGATGTAGTGTAATACTAAGAATAAAATTATTATACTCTCAAATTTTCGGGAAAATGAATTGGGTCGTTTTGAATATTGATTTATAATAATCAATAAAATAACGAAACAATTTACTCACGTATACGTATCAGAGGCAACTGAAAATCGTGTATGTATAAACATTCTTAATTTAAGATGACAGGCGTAACAGCATACGTGAGAGTCAAACAGAGAAACTGTAAACAAAACGACCATCGGTTTTATTGCTTCGACTTCCGCTTATTATATAAAACATTGGGTTTTATTTTAATTCTTGACGGTGAAATTCACAATTGGTTGATTATAAACATGTCTATTTCACATTCGCGGAACCAAGTGAGCGCATAAAACAAATGCAGGTCTGTAATGTTAAAGTCGATGTAAATAAGCGTAGTACCCTTATGTTTCAACCGAGTTTTTCCTTTAACAAATTTTGTGTCTACCAAATTGGGTTGGTTGGGGTGTAATACTAATAATAAGTGTTGCCTTTAATTTAATCAATAAAATAAATTGACTTCATTAATTTTTTTGAACCACCTCTTAAGAAAATCTAAAAAATTAGAATGGAATGATAAATCACAAGTACAAACTCATCATATTTTTTGCATTTTAGATAGGATTTATTCAGCAAAATTTAAGGGTGACGTCATCAATTCTTTTAGGAGGGATGAACAAATACATTTTGAACAAAAGTTTACCATGCTTATAATAACTTTAAAATATTCCCAAGATTTCAAAGCATTCGGTTTTGTAATTCCTGATTAAATCGATAAAATAAATTCACGCCTTCATTAATTTTTTTGAGTCACCCTGCATATGCAAATCCAAAAATATGAATGGAATGATAAATCACAAGTACAGACTCATCATATTTTGTACATTTTAGATACGATTTATTCGGCAAACTTTTGAGCTGACGTCATCAGTTTTTTGTAGAAGATAACCAAATATATTTTGACTAAAAGTTTATTATGCTCTTTATAACCTTAAAACATCTGCAAGATTTCAAAGCATTCGGTTTTGTAGTTCCTGATTAAATCAATAAAATAAATTTACGCATTCATTAATTTTTTTGAGTCACTCTGTATATGCAAATCGAAAAAATTTGAATGGAATGATAAATCACAAGAAGAGACTCACCATATTTTGTACATTTTAGATATGATTTATTCGGCAAACTTTCGAGCTGACGTCATCAAGTTTTTGGAGGGGATAAGCAAATATATTTTGACTAAACATTTATTATGCTCTTTATGACCTTAAAACATCTGCAAGATTTCAGAGCATTCGGTTTTGTAGTTCCTGATTAAATCAATAAAATATATTTACGCATTCATTAATTTTTTTGAGTCACCCTGTATATGCAAATCCAAAAAATATGAATGGAGTGATAGATCACAAGTACAGACTCATCATATTTTGTACATTTTAGATATGATTTATTCCACAAACTTTTGAGCTGACGTCATCAAGTTTTTGGAGGGGATAAGCAAATATTTTTTGACTAAAGATTTATGATGCTCTTTATAGCCTTAAAACATCTGCAACATTTCAAAGCAGTCTGGTTAGCAGATTAAAAATTAAATTTCAAAATGTTGTTTTATAATTTTGATTTTTTTTCCAAAAATCTGGACGTTTCGGGTGAAAAGTCGATTCAGAGTTGTAAACTACATGTGTAGGACTATGTTATTTTATACAATTGAAAACCCATTTACTATGTACAATTTTGAAGTGACGTCATCGCATTAGTGGTGGGGATGATTAGACAAATTTTGGTTAGCGTTTTACCATCTACATGATATTCTTAATATAAGTACAAAATTTCGCAACAATCGGTCGAGTACTTTCGGAGATTATCTGTCTAACAAAAATCCGGGACGGCAGACGGACAGACGGACGGACAGACGGACAGACGGACAGACGGACAGACGGACAGACGGACAGACGGACAGACGGACAGACAGACGGAAATGGGAGACCTATTTCTTCGTCTTCTAGGGGTCATGAAAGATCGAGAAAACGTAAAAGTAGAGAGTCGGCCGACGGACTCGATTACAATACTTCCTTTGCTTACGCTCGGGAAGTAAAAATTAAACGGATAATCTCCGAAACTACTGCACCGGTTGTTATCAAACTTTATACAGAATTTAAGAATATTGTGTAGATGGTAAAACGATAACCAAAATTTTGTCTAATTATCCCCACCAATAATTTGACAACGTTCTCTCAACATTTTGCATAGTAAAAGTTACTTAAATTTTGTAAAATTATATACTCCTGTACTTCTTGCGTGCGGTTACGGAGGTCAATTTACTACATTATAAAGATTATTATTACCAAAAGGTACTTAGCTGATAAGAAATCCGCACAGTCATTTCACCTTCCTACATTACAGTTCCACAATAAGTTTGGCAATACAGAAAGAAAAAATTCGAAAACCAGTCTTCAATATAGTATACATATATTAGATATATTACCAATTTAGTTAATATACCGACGTAAACTATTAGAACAGATAATAAATGTTTATGGTATTAATCCTTAAAATTATAGGCAAATCTGACTTTTTCCTCGTAGGTAGTTCCACAACTGTTTTGTGGGATCAGGACCACTTGCAGATTTATTTTGACCGTGGCGCGCAACTGACCCATGCCCGTACTTAGCCTTGATTTTTGACTCAATGACTTAACAAAAAATGCCTCCAATGTTTTTTACGCGTTTCATCTAGCCGATATCTCCCGCATAAATCAAATACCTCGAGAGTGAGTTGATCAAAAGGTGGATTGTAGGATATGTGCTGTGCCACCCCATTTTTTTACACTGTGAGTGATGTATTATTTGTATTTTGTTTACTTATTATCAAATAAATAAGTTTTATAATTTTTGGAAAAAAAACTGGATTTCTATTTTTTTTCCCGAGGATAAGCAAAGGTAACATTGTAGTGTCCAATGATGATTTTCATGATTCCTAGAGTATAAAAAATAGGTTTCCCATCTGGCTGTTTGTATATCTATCTGTCTTCCTGTTTGTTTATCTGTCTGTCTCTGTCTTTGTCAAATTTTAATAGACAAATAATCTCTAAAACTACCGGTCCGATTGTTGTCAAATTTTATCTGGATGTTAGGAATAAATGATAAAACGCTAACCAAGATTTGTGTAATCAACCCCATCAACAATTTGATGACGTCACCTCTAAATTTAGCCTAGTATACACCATTTAATTTTTGTTTTTAAATAAAATTCCTGTACTTGTAGTTTATGATTCCGCTTTGAATTTTTATTCTAGGTATCCAAATTTTCCCACAAAAAAAATAAATTTTCTAATAATATTTTATATAAATTACATAAATAAATAAATTACAACTTGAACAGAAAATTGTAGTGACCACCTAGTCTAATCTAAGTAGTAACGCGGAGATTCTAGCCCATTGTTTTTCTTACACTGTGACTGGTATTATTTGTATTTTTTACTGATAGGGTTTATCATAAAATAAATAAAATTTCGCAAAGTCAAATTTTATCATTTTTCGAAGAAACTGGACCTCAGGGTCAGGTATTAATAACTTTAAACCAATTTTTAATGTCAATAATGTAATTCTCAGAAACAAGGAAACAATAAAATTTGGATCATTAGGTACTACAAAAACAGTTAATTTCAGATAAAGAAGTTTTGTATAAATGTAGAACACCACGGTGCTAAAAGTGTTGGTTCTGCTGAATATAAATAATAAATATCTTGTATAAAATAAATAAGAATAGAATGTTCGGGATCAAATCATTATAAACTTTCAACGAAACTACTGAATCAAATATAAATTTGACAATTGGAATTAAGATTACAAAATTAATACGTAATAAATTAGAAAAAAAAAAATTGTGACAAATATACAG